AGTGTCCGTGTGTAGTTGGGGGGTACAGGCCCTTTGGAGATAAATTTTCTTGTACCGCCCCGCCCCGCCCACCAATAGTATATCGTAAGATCAGCGAAGACCTCGAGAATCGTGCAATCGTCCTGCATTACCAGAGTCTCATCCCAGACGACGTATCTAAGCTACTTGAGACTTCCAATCGGGGTCTATCTAGGTGAAGTAACCAGGCAACGTACGGGTCCGTCGTCCCCCCTCCCACATACCGATCCGGTTGTTCACAAATCCTCAATACCGGGCATGTCCTGTGAAAAATCGTCAGAATAGTAGGCTGTGGTATAACCGAGTGATCAAAGAGGCGGGTGAGGAACGGTTGGGGTGTATCTTCCCTCGCCTGAGCGTGCAGAACCTCCGAGTAAATGTGTCCGGCGATCGAATCGGTTGGCCTAGACACGATGATAAGCTCACACGTACTACCATTGAATATTGAATATTGAATATTGATGGATTCAATGATGAGAGTAACATACCAAACGGTTCAATCTCGAGTTCTTCCACACTGGGACCGTTGGGCGTGTTGAGTTCGTTCAGATCAGCACGATAATAATCCATAGGTTCATGAATCACTAGAGATGGCGTTGGGGGGGAAGAGAGGCGTAGTATATTTTCTTTTCCTCATTGCTACTACTGTCTGTTTACTATGCACTCAGAGGAATCCGAGAAGATCGGACGGAAACCCAAGCGGTGCCTTACATTTTTGACATTCCTCCTATTGGTAGGACCTGTCGACGTCAACGAAAAAAAAAGACGCTGAGGACAAGGTTTTCCGGAACGGCCGTAACTGGTGTACCGAGAAAGGCTGCTATGGACGAGGACGTGTAGGCAACGAGGGAAGGCAGCCCACCCCCTCCTCATCTACTGGGGCTAGTCTCCATAAATCTATTCAAACATGGACGCTTTACGTGAGAGATTACAGCCGCGACAAAGTCAATAAAAGCCCTCCAGAAACCTCCAAAGCTCTCCCCAGCCTCCTACCTCTCGACCACTTCAAACAACTCAATCCTCTCTCATGGCGATGGTCCGTAAGGCCCGTGTCTCTGCATGGCCTGGGGCTGATCGTTCTCTCCGTTATCAGCAAACCGAGTCCTCCGTGCCCGTCAACCAGGCCCGCTGCTACTGCTGGTGTTCCAGATGTTGCTGCTATCACCACCAGTGCGGCTGCTGGTGTTGCAGGTGTGGCTGAAATGAGAGGTACGTTGCTAGACGTTGCGTTCGTTTTATAGGGCACATGTTGACTTCTCATGTAATAGCCACACTCCCCCAAGCCTGGTGAATGCAAGCACTAAACGCATACACCGTGGCGCGTTGTACAACTTCCACCTTTTCTTGTTCTGATGTACCACAACCTTTGAATGACCTGTAAACGTTGAATTTAAACAATGAACCCTTGCAATTTGTCTCCTGTTATTTTGCGCGATTGCTTAGACTCTCGTACCCCTTTAAGCGGATTCCAAAGCTCGTCATCGATGTCATCACTCCCATGGCATTCGATGATCGGGGTCGCTGGGTCCGGACGATCATTCCGTGAGACTCCTGATGAGTCCGTTAATCTATCCGTTGGGCGACTGAATGTCCAGGTGAATCCGATGAGGGCGGGGCGGTAGCATTCTGTCATGAACAAGATAGGGACAATACGCAATCCATGGGAACACTTCCATCCATTCGAGGCCTCACCCACTTCGATTTCTGGGCGCAAGTCTCGGAGCTTCTGCCACAAAGACACCGATAAGGGAGAGGTCATCTCCACCAGGAAGCACGACCTACGGAACGGTGACTTAAGCATCCACGTACGAACGCAACCCTAGATCTTATGATTTGCGAAACCAACCCTCGCAGCACGGCGGCTTGCAAGGCTGCCAGATATTCCGTAGACGAGCCTAGTCCCCGAATAATCCCCGCTCATAATCACAGGGTCCTGATCTTTGTAGTTTCGACCATCGAAGAGGAATCACGCGCGGGCACTGAGGACTACTTTAGTCCTTGCCAGCACGTAAGATGCCTCTCCGAGTTATCCCCGTACTAGGCAACTTCCCATTCTTTCTCATGCCTATACTAAATCAACGTTGATAGATGGTAGGTACCCATCACTCAGTTCTCCTATTCACAATTCAGTGGGCGATGAACGTAAGGAAGAGAAAAAAGATCGCGGCCCACAAAGAGATCCGAACAAGGAGATGATAGGGTGATAAACGAGCTTAAAGCTCCTGCCTAGAATTAATAAAGATCCTAACGTTTCTCTGTACGTTGCTCTCTGGTAATGTCTTGCTTCGGGAGACGACCTTGGGATCCCAGGGGAAAGGTGGGGGCGTTTACCTGAAAATCCTTTTGGTGGGTTTTGCCGATTAATCGATCATTAACCGTTGCTCCAGCACTGTTATGTCACCGGGGGCAGCAGCGGGCTGGGGTTGGCGCTCTCGTTACTACTTGTTGAGCAAGGTGCAGACGTTTCGATCGTCGCGTTTGACGAGGAGGGTCTTATAGCGGCGAGAGAGAGATTGGAGGTTCGTCTAACCACTTCCTCGTGGGTTCGTCAGAAGACTGACGAACTATCCCAAGAGCGTTAGACAAACCCGGGACCAAAGATTCGCCGAGTACAACTACGACCTGACTTCTGCAGAGGCTGTGCAAGATGCACTGCGAGCGGTGATGAATGACCACGATGGACGGGTACCGGATGCCACGTTCCTCTGTGCAGGCGGCGCCACGCCCAAATTCTTCGTTGAGATGACCAAGGAAGACTTGACCCGCGGGTTGGAGATGTCGTATTGGATACAGGCCTGGACAGCTTGGGTGCGTCTGTTCGTCCTCCGTGATCTGATAATACATCTAGCTTACCCCGCTCGGCTAGGCGGTGAGCCAAGAAATGATTAGGACTCGCAAGAAGGGAAAGATCTGTTTCGTCTCTTCAACGCTAGGATACATGTCCGTCGTCGGATACGCTTCATACGCTCCAGGAAAACACGCTCTTCGAGGTCTCGCCGATACCCTCCGCTCAGAATTCAAGCTGTACGGAATCGACGTCCAAATCTTCTTCCCTTGCACGATGTACACTCCTGGTTACGAACGCGAAAACCTGACCAAACCGGAAATCACCCTTAAGCTGGAAGAATCGGATCCCGGGCTGACAGCGATGCAGGCCGCGCACGGGATGCTTAATGGTGTGTACTGGTTTCGTGACTTTGGTGGGAAGTGACGTTTTCATTGAAGAGCATGTGGGAGTGAATTAGGAATCAAAAGTCATAAAAGTCATATCACCGGAGATTGGATTACGGAAATATTTCGCGCATCAACACAGGGTTCTTCACCCGGTCATTTCTTCCTGAAGGATTGGGGATTGAATGTTTTGGGAACTGTGAGTAACTTCGCGCTATATACGGTCGCACTCGAACTCAATCGCATTTCTCGACGTAGCTCGTCTTACCTCTATGGAGGATGTATGTCGACATGACCGTCACTGGTCATGCACACGAACACGATGCGTATCTCACAGAACGAAAGCTCCGCGATTGAAATGGGCGACCGTGCTTCGTTTGCCGCGCAACCTCCGTCGAAATTACCGATCAGCACCGTGGTTTTGCTCTCAGGACTGGTGCCCGGCGCTTCAAGTATATTATTTGGTTACTATTTAAGAGGAGAAGCATTCGTGAGAAACGTCACTGTCATGTAACTGGGTCTTCCATTTCTATTGCGAGACACGTCTGGGCCCTGTCGAAGGGTGCTAGTTCGCGAAGAAAACGATATGTTGCCTACAGTCGCCGTAATTTTGGCGGGAAAGAAATGGAACAGGCACCGGTTGAAAGAAGCTTTATAGAAGATTGGATGGCTGTCAAGGATTTGTGTGACCCACGAGCGTTGGAAGCACACTTCATAATGTCAAAGAGCTCGGTTTCACCCGGTCGGGGGGAGGGATAGATTCTGTTTGTGCTCGATCCAAATCGCACGATACACAAACAGACTTGGGATGTACTGCCAACGTGGGTGTGCATGGGCCACCTATATCGGTCCTTTTAGGGGAACAGACAAAATTTTAGAGTTTGACAAGTAAAACCCCGGACTTGAGGAGTCACCCAGGTCAACCTTCGCTCCTGAGAGTTCCGTTGTCGTGGACAACGGACACTGTACATTTGCCTGTGGGAGCACGGGGGGAACTCAGAATGAGCAACCGCGAGAAACTTTGCCCCCACAGTCATGACGGATTACCAAATTTTCGAAAATCCCGCGTCATCCGGGGCGGGATCGCAATTCTACAATTCCCGTCGCCCAGCCCGCCTAGCTCAATCATATCCGTCAAACTCTTAGCTTCACGCGGGTAATCTGAAGGCTGCGAGTTCGGCCATCGCCGCAGGCTAGCTGCTTGACCTTTCCCCCTTCCTTGTTTCCTTTCTCGACGATCAGGCCAGGAAATCAAAACATCATGCATCATCCGCCACTATATGGAGATCTACTATGGCCGTCCTAGATACTTTGTCAAAAGGTTGATCACTCCACGCCGAGGCACATCGTATACTCGTAGACCGGTGCATCACCCATCACCAGTTAATTGCTCAAATGTATATGTGAAGCCTTCGAGGTTCGGCAGAGCTATTTCCCATGCTTTGATTACTGACAAATCAAGCAACACTTGAAAACCGCAAACAGCATCGCCCAGGCGTTGACCTAACTGTGGCGCTGGTATTGTTCCTGTGCCATTTATACGCGTCCATTACAACAGAGAATAATGGGTTCATCGTATGATCAGCTTCTTGATAGCAAAAGCTCCGCGTTTGATGTTTGGTTTTGCTCTGGGGTTTTTTCAGCGATACGATACGCTATCAACTAGCCTAGATGTAACTTGATACGTTGCCAGGGCTTCAATGTTGGAACATCCTCAAACACACCCGAAAACACACCTCCGAGTGCGGGTAAAAAAGCCAAAGAAGGGGGTCAGCTCGCAAGAAAGTCAGCAGACGAAAAAGTAATCAACTAGCCCACGGCGAGGGTCGAACTCGCAGCCTTCAGATCGCCCGTGTGCGCTAAGAGTCTGACGCTCTATCCGATTGAGCTACGCGGGCCGGTATCAATTTCTTAATTTTAATTACCATATCCTTTTTTTCCCTCTAACTTTAGTAAAGTGTTTCACCGATCAGCAGCACCTCTGCCTTCCACTCCTGACCTCCACTTCGATGCTCCCTCCCCCGACATGAACAACATTCCTGGCCTTGTCTCGCGATATTATTTGAGTCGTTCTTCCATCCGTTCTTTGCCGGGGTCATGTTTCAGCCTCTCGCTAGGCTGCTATTTGACTGCCGCATGACCGAGAAACAGCACACACGAAGGTAACACCTCTTCGCTTAGCTGGTTCGTTTCCGCTCGCATCTTCTAGGCTCCTTGGTACCCGTGCACTTCACTCAAACTTAGATTATATTTCGCATCTAGCTCTTTGAATCAGGGTCGGTACGCGCTGAACTCGGTTAAGCAAGCATTCGGCAACTCCCTATTCTAATGCTTCCGTCATCCATCACGACACGGCAAGCGGCGAGAAAATGGATGTGGCATTGGGCAAGGCCATACATACATCCTGAGGGGTTCCGTATCCTGTTTTATTGTACGTTATGTTGGGTTTCGCGGGGCGGCGTTTTGATTTTGGGCGACGCGGCGACGGCCCGACGGGTGACCTCCGATCGCTCTTGGATGTTTTGCTTGTATCTATTCAGGTGGTGGCGGCGAAACGCAAGGTTACCGTTTTGAATCAGTCAAACGGTCGGCGTCCCGACGGCACAACGGCCTACCCACAGGCGTATCCCAAACCTCCTACCCGCATCGTGAGTGTCTCGAAAACTCATTGATTTCGTATCCTACCCTATATCGATCCCCTTGGGACACTCTCAATTCAAACCTTGCAGGTGATTTGAACTGCCGTAGGGTGATTTGCACGGTGGGGGCACGGGTTTAATGGCGAACCCTTCTCGGTCGTCTGATATGATGATATGTTGATCCCTTGTTCTAATCAATCGTTCCGTACGATGAACCCGCTCTTAGCTGACCATAGTCTTACTATATACCGCAAACGTTTTGCAATCTGAATCAGCCCAGGGTCTGATACTCCAAACCCTCGGCCTGGGTATCGTTGTCTCAACCTAGACGGTTTTTCCTCGGGTTTACCGTGTTTCATCGAGCAATTCCTCGGGAGAGAAGAACGGGTGTATTTGATCTGCATGTGCATGGGACGCACGAAACTGACGGCTTGTTCGTGAGGAAGACCTGGTCCGTGGAACGGAAACACAATCCATACTACCCCCCCCCTCACTTGTTACTCGTTACAGGTACACTCTACGACCTTAATCCTGATCCAACCCTGATCTTCTCGATCCCTACTTACCTCAGGTATAAGGACAATCTTCCCGTTCAAAGGGGAAAAAAGAAGCAGCAGAAAGAAAAAAGATCGCCAGGATACGTTTCCGAATGTACATCGAAGTAACGTACGTTAACACGGAGTCCCTCTAAGTACGTCTGGATTTTCTTTTTGCATCCCTGTTCATCGGATGACTCGTGAAACGTAAGCGTGGCGCGGCCAGGAGGATCGCAACGAGGTTGATAAGCCGGAACCCAGCGAATGGGATGATTCTCCGAGTTACGAGGCGACCTAAAGAGATCGTCGCATATCATGCCTCGGGTCCCATACGCATACAAACCGCGCACCCGTACAAGTCGTCTAAATTCCAGGGTTTCCGACCACGATTACTCCACAAACAGGAACATGTGTTCGTGCGTGCTCGCTTTCATATCAAACGCGAATGCGTGGTATTATACCCACACGAGACGATCGTGGCCCTTAAGACTTCATCACAAAATATGACAGGTCACCCTGACATGACGTTACGCCCGTCATTTCATTGTTTCGTGGCATGTCGCGAAGTGGTCACGTACCTCCACTCGTTTGTGACGGGATGCCCGTGATAGGCAACGGTATTGACTGACACGACCCTACCGTGACCTATCTGATACATCCCACACACGTACGATACCGACGTACGAAGGAGCGGCGGTACCCGCTCGCATCACAGCGTACAGCCTGGGAAGCACTTATCACGACCACGGGGGTCCTTGGTTTCGCCCCTTGGGTCCAGATCCTCATGATTTGGTAACGTGAGGTTAGGTATCCACGACTAAGGGCTTCTAGTCTGCGGAACGTACGGACCAGATAGCTCGATAAGGAGTCCTGACGTGTCTGAAGTGTACGTGTACGAACGTTAGCCAAAGGGCGCGTGTGGTGATCTCGTCGACTGTATGTGGTTGAAGGCGCGGATTCATCCGGGATTGATTTGCGATAAGCTCGTGTAGTACAGATCAGCTTTTTTTCCCGTGCTGGTGCCGCCCTATCTCTGCTAAGTATACCGTGTTGGTGGCACCTCGTTGAGCCGATGTCGTGCCTGAGGCACCAATCTATCCACAGGGTCGTTATGATGGAGAGAGACAGAAAAAAGAATCCTGGGAACTTTGCTCGCGATCTTCGGCACGGAGAGGGAGTGCACGATGCGGCTTGAAAATCCTTCTCATGAGAAGCCGTGAGTCCGAAGGAGCCCAGGAGGGGTTCGGCATGTCGTTCGGTCGATGTGTCAACGAGTAGCCCCGTAAACTAGTAGCGACGGGGAATCATGAAGAATCCAGAGGAACGTGAGCAGCTGACCGGGGGTAATCCAGACTTACCACTCGGATGTCTCCAGTCCTGTCTCTATCCCTCCTCCTCTGTGGAAGTAACACGGGGTTCCTGTCATCCGGTGTGAAAGGATTAATATAAGCAATGATTGTGCAGACAAAGAACGGTCCGAGGAAGCTCTTCGATTCGTATTTCATATCAATTCAGTTCGAATTTGAAAAAGAAATGCCAGTTGAGGGCTTGATCGATCTTCCCTCATATCCCAAACGCTTCGGGATTACTGCTATACCGCCTCGATGTCGTCCCCCACTTACCGAAGCACTGAGGCCGAGCTGGGTCTGCGAGGAGAATTGCTGAGTCTTGGGTAACTAATCCTTACGTGAACAAAAACGGGCGGGTTATCTGTAGGTATCCCGGCATCCCCGCGACTGCGGTGGGGAAGGACGAACTGTATTCATCAAGCTATGGATCCGGATACTTATAAGCACCTTATACATAGAGACGGTGGCTGCGCGTATTCTAGCCCGGTTTCATCTCACACGCCTTCCCTACTACTACTTTTTATTTTTTCATTTCCGTCGTATGCTGTCAACCCCGGATACGAAGATGTCGCAAGGGTTATTATGTACGAATGTATACAGTAGTAGGGATGGAAACTCCAACGAATAGCAATGCGCCGCGAGTAAATGAATACAGCACAAATGTCTCTGCTGTGTTACATAGGCTGTGTACACACACGCATCCCGAGACAAATTCTTCCTAGAGTCTTGAAACCGAAGCGAAGAGAGTTTCACTAGATTATTGGCCGAGAGGGAGGAGGATCCGGATACACAAACGAAGAATCCGCACCTTCAAAGTTATCGCGCCCATCCGACACAACCGAAAAAACTCGAAACCCCAGATATCGCATTTGGTACCCCCATGTAAGCCGAACTAAAAAAAGGTTTACACGCATGTGTATGGGGATGTTATAATTGTAATGTATAAGCGTTATGTGAACTTCCGATACTATGTGTAACGGCAAACGATGCAAAACGAAGCGCAATCGACAACGACAAAGAGTGAGGTAGAGACAAGGCAAGACGACATGATACGAGATCAAAACGAACGAAGAGAGAGAACAAACGACAACGAGCACTTGAAAATCATGCTACAAGAGAAAGAAAATTGCCATACAAAAACAAGGGTAAGGCGGAAAGGAGTCAATCATCCTCTCGTAAACTGTTACACGCCTAGGAACCATCTGACACCTGTTGTGATCACAGGAGAGGGAAAGGGGAAAAAGAAAACGTCCGGGCATTCTGACACGGGAACGTTGTTAACCCATCAACCTATTTTACATCAGTTGCTGGCCCATATGCTCCAGGGTGAACCCACACGGTCACCAGCCTCTGATCTACCAAAGTTCCGAACCCCAAATACCAAGGGGTCATTGGGTCTAGAAGAGAGACCCACGGCCTGGAGAATGCAATCAGGCGATGTAGCGGCGGCACATCGTAACGCAATGGAGAGTATCCACTGTCAGACATCAAACAGGCGGGCGACGGTTGCTATTTGTCGTCGTGATAGATTTGTACAAAACAGATCCATAGAGACCACAGGAGACGGGAAGAGAGCGGGGAATGGGAAGAACGCTTGTGGAGTGATACGGCATGTCCTGAGTGAGGGAGATAGGCGGAGATTTCGTGGTGAGCAATAACCCGACAAGTGGCTATAAATCGTCCGCTCACCTGAATGAAAATCATATACCGCCAACGAGATTCAAGGAAACGTGTGGTGATACACAACGTAAGAGCAGAAAAACGGCGGGAGGCAATCAAGTCACCGAGGACGGTGTTGGGGTTGCCTGTGCCTGAATTGATTTGAGATTAGGGATTGGGTGTATCTCGTGACTGGGTGAGACCCATAAGGATTCCTGGAGAGGATGTTTGGATATACGGTGGGTGTCGATAAGGAGAGAGACAAGTTTGAGAATGTCCTTCGCTTCTTGGAGCCCCGGTCGGCAGAAGAGGAGGTTAAGGGGAAGCCATCATCCGCATCATCGTCGTCATCACTCCGCTTGCGTTTTGCGGCCGATCGCGAGGTGCAGTAGGGAGGGTGGGAGAGGTCTTGATCTTCGCTTGGAAGGTCGAATTGGAACTGAAGGTTGGCTAGAGAACGGTACGGTCTTGGCTTTGGTACCACGATGGGGACATTGCAAACCACGTTCAGATATTGGGGCGAAGGTGAGCCATCTTCGGACGTGAGTGATGATTCCGAAGGTGATGGAGAGATGTCTTGTAGGGTAAGGTTGAGGCAAGTTCGAAGAAACGGAAAGAGAGGTATTTGTAGGACGTACCTGCTTGGGTGAAGGGGGGCAATTGATCCATTGTCCTGGGGTGGTTATATGGTTGAAGGAGAAGGGGAAGGGTGATG